CCATGTATTTAATAAGTTTTATTTTAAAACAATGTTAGAAGTGTGTAGTTATTAAAATTAATAATAGAATATATAGAATATAGAAAACAGAAAGAAATGTGATGCTTATGACAATTAAGAGCCAACAAGAGATCACAAAGAATTCTACTAATCAAATTATGCCAGAAAATAATTTACTGGAAAATTGACAAAAATGATAAACACATATTTCATAGAAAATGGTATAAGTAGAATACCCAATAAATTAATGACAGTAAGCATACTTCAGTAGCCATAAAGAAAATTAGAACCACAGTTAATATCACTCTATTAGTCACTACATTCACAAAATAGCAGGCATCTCAAAAAGTAAAGTGTGATACAAAGATAGACCATGGAACACACACAACTATGATGTATTCCTAATTGTTTCTTTGAAGGTAACAAGATATTCATTGAGAAGAAATTGTACTTCTATCTGTACTTAACATTCTACACCAGAGTTTTTCCATAGAATTTTTAATCTCTGCATTTCTCAAGGTGTATATTAAAGGATTTAACATGGGAGTAATAGCTGTGTAAAAAACAGAAATGGACTTGTCAATAGGAAAGTTGGAAACAGGTCTAACATACATGAAAATACAGGGAACAAAAAAGAGGACAACCACCATGATGTGGGAGCTACAGGTAGACAGGGCTTTGCGCCTACCTTCCTGACTGTGAGTCTTAAGAGAGCTTAGAATAATGCCATAGGAGACCAAAAGAAGAATAAAGACCACCATACACATGGCTCCATTATTGCCAACCACAGTGAGGCCAATGAAGTAGGTGTCAGTGCATGCCAGTCCCAATAATGGGTACATGTCACAGCCAAAGTGATCAATGACATTAGGTCCACAGAAAGGAAGTTTATAAACAGACAGAACTTGAATCAGGGCATGTACAAATCCTCCAACCCAGGCTACCACCAAAAAGGAGATACAAATCCTTTGATTCATGATGGTCAAATAGTGCAGTGGCTTACAGATTGCCACAAAGCGATCATAGGCCATCACCACCAGAAGGAAGACTTCAGCACCACCAAATAAGTGTTCTACAAAGAGCTGAATGAGGCAAGCTGTGAAAGAGATTGTCTTTTTGTCACAAAGTAAGTCTGTAAGCAACTTGGGTAGGATGGCAGTGGAATACACAGCATCCATGAGTGACAGATAGGCAAGGAAGAAGTACATTGGAGAGTCCAGGGAGGGGCTGGCAACAACTGTCACCACAATGAGTAAATTGCCCACAATGGTCACTATGTACATGAGTAAAAACATGACAAATAATGCTTTTTGCCCCACAGGATCCTGGGTGAGGCCCAGGAGGACAAATTCAGTGACATTGTGGCTCTGTCCCATTTACTCTTCAAGCTGGTTTCAAAGACAGGAGTTCAGAACAGGACTTCATTCATGTCATGAATTCATTGTGAAGAAGGTTTATTATAAATCTGTTCTCTCATGAAGTACATCATCATTATTATTTCATACAGTAGTGAAGCAGAAACATGCACACACTAAGCATCTGTTCAGTTCCACTTGCAAGGAGCCCCATTCATTTTCTGATAATAATTCTAAGTATTAGTTTCTATCTCAATATCAGTGCATCTCTTTACAGGCTAGCAAGCAGGTATTTCAGCAATCAAACAGGGGAAGGGCTTCTCTATTAAGAGGTCTACAAAATACTTCTCTCAATAAATACCAGTTTAATCAACTAGCATAAGGTCAGTTTGACCCGGTACTGTCAGGGAATAATTTACAACATGATCAGTGTCCTTAGCATCCAGCTCAGTCCTGTTGTATTGCACCATTAGAGATCTATTTCTAAAATAGACCCTGTGCATAATGAAAGACTTTTATTTTTCAAATGTATTTCATTTAATCATGAAAATGGATTTGCACTATATCAAATAATCCCAATATGATTTAACATATTGCTGATTATTCCATTTCTTCCAAACTGCCATGTTTTCTAGGAGTTATAACACTGCTATTTCACAATTGTTTTTACAAATTACATACACTATCAGTATTTTCAAAATACTTTCATTACCTGACCTGCACTAAACTCTGATTCCCACCTTCTACTATACTATGAATTAAATTATTGTTTTAAGATGATGGTGATAAGATATGTAGAAAGACGGGAGAAAATATGAACTGAAAAGAATATTAGTGATCACTGGGGCATGGTATTTTCTAAAACTGAGTGTGCTCAAGTAAAAATTCAGTGTCTAGATCTTTAAAAGCAACACACTCAAAGGAAAACAAATAACCTGAGTTACATCATTTTCTAAATATGATTATAGATATGTCTCAGTTTATGCATTGAAAAACTAAGCTATTAGACAACAAGATTTCAAAATCTTTTCCAGTCCAATTAGCTACAACACTATTATTTCAGTCTTTCCTTTCTCTAGTTTGTAAAATCAAATAGTAGTTTCCAAGCTTATCATTATTTTCTGATTAATGCTAATCAGGCATAAGTGGAATGTGGTAACTGCTTTAACTAAGTAATTACTGCTCATGGTGAGCCAAGAAAGAATCCAAGACAGTTTGGGAGAGAGAACAAGAGAGCAAGAAAATGAGAGAATGAGCAAGGGAGAGAGAGGGAAAGCAACAGAGAGAGAGAGAGAGAGAGAGAGAGAGAGAGAGAGAGTCACTCTAAAGATATTGTGGTCATTGGTCCATAAGCTCAGGCCCAGATTCTTTCACTCATTATCTATGTGACACTGTGAAACTTAATAAACCTTGTTTTTATCTCTGTTTCATCATTCTTACCATGGGAACATCCATAGCATCCAAGTGTGTTGTTTGTTCATTTGTTTTCATGCAAGATGCCTAAAGCATCACTCACTGTGAGCCTCAGCTCAGAATAAATCATCACGATCTCTGTCCACTTAACGGGAATAGTAAACATACTATAGGGTATAAAAAATACTATACATAGCCCTCATGAACAACTTCGACATAGGTTAAAATTATATGTCTTGAAATCATCTATATCATTGCATATAAGTACTAACAACACTTACCTGTGAAGAAATCTATTTAAGCAAGAAAATTCCATTCAGATGCACCCGGTGGTTGATGAGACATGTACAGAGTCTGCGCTCCCTTGAGAAGTCTCTGTGATACAGTGTCCTCTTCTCACTCATAACACCACTCCCGCCTGAGGCTGATCTCTTGTCATCCTTGAAGCCACAGATGGAAAAGACTCACCTGCTATAAACACGGGATGGGACATTTATGTCAAATTCTGTCTCCTTAACATATTATTTTCTACATGCTTCCACACCCTTTATTATTTATCTATGTTGAGTTTCACCAGGACAAGGCCAATGTAATTGTGCACCTGACAGAGTAAAAATAGAGTACTTAAATTAGACCATACTGAAACTCATGTAAACTGTGCTGTGAATTATCAAAGCACTGGCTTTATAAAACAGTATTATGACAACTTTCAATTTAAACTGTTGTTGACACTTTTCTAGAAAAATGATTTAAAATAGTTATTAAGATCATAGTATTTGACTAGACAGGCCTTGACAATTATGACAAGAATTCTTGAAATCCAGTAGGGGGTCCTATGGGTGGGTGTAGGTAGGAGAGGGGGGTTCTTAATTTGATTAAGACATGTTATATGAAATGCACAAACTCTCAATAAAATACATTAGAAATAAAATATAATAAAACAGAAAATTAAAAAGAAGTATAAAGAGAAGCTGATGAGGGTGAGGAAAGGCAGGAAAGAGGTGGGAATAAGAAGGGAGAATATGAGACGTTCGTGACAAGTACAGATACAGTAGCACCCTTACTAGTAGACTGGGTAGAGAGACATATAGAACAATCCTAAAACAAAACTGACAATATACAACAAAAGCAAAACCGTTCTGAGATACACATGCAATAGTGAAAACCCATTTTACTACTTTCTACATTTCTAAAAGAAAATTAGAAATAAAGAAAATTTATGAAGTAAAAAAACATAGTATTTTTTAAAATAGCCTTATGATTTCAAAATTACTCTGTGTAACAATGGATTTCGTTATAACCGCAAATAATGATATTGCATCACTCAGGGATCTGAATCCAAATGGAGATAACCATATTACATGAATTGAACCAACCTAGAGAAGAAAAATATCAATCACATATTTCTTCCATTTGGGGTCATAGATTTTTCTTCAGATACATTAAATCTAGACGATATGAAAGCAGTAGTGATGCTGTCTAGGGAAACAAACAAGTTCTGTGAAAGGAGGAGAGGTGAAGGAGGACACAGAGGATAGTTCGGGGGATTAATGAACAAAGCACGAAATGCACTTGTATGACTATTGCCTTATGTACTCCAGTGTAGTAAAATAAACATTTAAAAAAAAAAAACCTTTAAAGTAAAATACAAGAACAAATTGCCAAATCAAGTAATGATAGACAATGCAATTCTTCATGGGTTTCTCTATGCAAGACATGTTAGCATATTTTCAGGGATAACTTTAAGATACACATAGAAAAGACTTCACCAAGCTACCGGACCTTAGCAGACATTTATTCTCATATATCCTAGACACTAAGAATGTAATGGAATTTTTAATTTCCTAGTTTAGCTATATTTAAATATAATTAGACTCCTTTGTTAACACATCATATGAAATATAATATCCCATTAAAACATAAAAATATTAAGTCCATGGAGCTTCTCTAAAAATAAATGTGACTTAGCTGCCCTAGAACTCAATATGGAGACCAAGCTGGCCTTGCTGTCAAGTGGTTTGCCTGCCTCTGTCTCCCACATGCTGGCATTAAAGATGTATGCCACTATTACCTGTTGCTCACTTGTCATTTGGAAAAAAATGTAAAATAACCAAATCAGACTCTAACACTAACACCAAATATACTATAAATAATCTGATTATTTTGCATTACCACCAAAATTTTCCCAATTTAAGAGCTTCGTGAGAAAATATTGTCTTTAAACAATTAACTATATTTCAGTATCATACAGGAGTTTTTATTCACATCCCTTCCTGTCACAAACTGACATCTTTGTTCCTATGAAAATTGTTCATATATCTATGTACCTTCATAGAAGACGTGACAACTTTCAATGAAGTAAAACACTAAGTAGCTATAGCAAACACTTTCACATCATGTCCCATATTCTTCATCTTTCAGAAAAGAATATCCAAGTGAATACCTAAAATATAACAAACACTGGAACATAATGTCAAAACTCACTGTAAAAGGTAGCTGGATATTCTCACTTTCTGGGGAAATGTCTTCATACAAATTCAAAAACACTGTTTGAAAAAGTGTTTAAAAAGTTAGACTAATAATGAGTGGAAATAGATTTATTTACTGACACAAATAAAGAAAAAATTAACAGACCTAAAATAACGCAATTTTTTTCAGTAAACTGTACAGAAACCTTCAGAAGTGTCTTGTCTGTAAGAACATAAAATAATATTCATGTGGCTCACAAATGAGACAAGAACCTAACAAGTAAAACACTGATATAAGTTCTCAGAAACACTGCTGATGAGTAGAAACAGGCCTTCACTCTTCAGGTTATTCAAGCTGAATATCCCTAGGGTTTCTTCCTTACTCATAGAAAGCATGTGGTAGGTGCCAGGAAAATGAGACCATCCACAAACCTTCATACACAGTGATGAACATCAAAAACATGGTATCTCAAAACTATATACAAACTGAAGGAGTAATTTAGCTTGGATAGAATCTAAGTTTTCAGAGACCTCTTGGGTTATTTAATTAGGAAAATATTTCTTCCGTTTATATTCATGATACAGTCTATAACTTTTATTACACCATTTCTATTTTAATAGATGTGCTTGTTAGAATATTTGGAACAAGTTCAAAAAAGTAATCTCTCTTAAACAGATGTCTTCCCTTCAATATTCCCTAGAGATGAAAGACTTGGATCTTGCCAAGAGTAAGTAGCTCACTGCCAAGTTGATTTGAAAATCCTAAATATGAAAATGTAATTTCCAAATTTAAATGATTAGGAAACAAAGATTTCACATTATAAAGTACTTAAGTCAGGCAAATAATATTTACAGCAGCATGAAAGAGAAAGCAGCTACAGTCCTCTTCCCCACCACAGCCAGGCAAAGCACAGTCTTACACTGACTCTCAGAGAAAACATTCTTATGAAGTTTTGAGGTGCAGTCGGGGAACAGGGAATGGCAGGCTTTTGGAATTGGTGCTTATGTTATAATTGTTGGAGGGACACACATTCTTCTGTCCTTCAGTAGATGTGCAAATTTTGACGGAGGTCTGGATTCCTGTGAGTCAGAACTACAATGATCTTCATTCTATTCAGTTTCTACAAGAAAAAGAATTGTTAAATTCGAAAGGCAACAGTGTCAACGGCTTCCACTGT